GCGGCGGCGGCGCGGCCGCCTGCAGCGCCCGCTCCGGGCTCGGGGATGGCCGACAGCGCCAGCGAGAGCGACACGGACGGCGCGGGGGGCAGCGGCGGCGGGGCGCCGGGCGCGCTGCCGGGCTGCCCGTCCGGGCCTGGCTCGGCGGGGAACACCAAGGCGGGCGGCATCGTGATCTCGCCGTTCCGGCTGGAGGAGCTGACGAACCGGCTGGCGTCGCTGCAGCAGGAGAACAAGGTGCTCAAGATCGAGCTGGAGACCTACAAGCTCAAGTGCAAAGCGCTGCAGGAGGAGAACCGCGACCTGCGCAAGGCCAGCGTCACCATCGTGAGTGCGGGCGGCCAGGAGGGGACGCGCTCTGCCAGGCCCGGCGGCAGCCGCCCCGCGGGGCATCTCCCGCAGCGCCCCTGCGCCATGGCGGGCGGCGGCGCCCGCTGCCTGGCGGAGGGCGAGGCGCCTCGGGCCGCCTCAGGTGGGGCGCCCCGCTCCGTGTCCGCCGCGGCCCGGCCTGCGAGGGCACGCGGGAGATGGGCGGGGCCGCCGGGAAGGGGCTGCGGGGCCTCAGGTGGGGGCGCCCGTGGGGCGCGCCGGGCCGGGCCGGGCCGGGCCGTGGGAAGGCGTCCAGGAGAGGCGGGGAGGGCGCCCCGCGTTCCCGCGCCTCCTTTGTCGGCCGCTCGGTCCCGGGCAGCTGGCTGCGGCTGCGGCGGCCCCTGGCAGCGCCGGCTGGGGCGCGTGACCCGGGCGTGAGCCCCCTCGCTCCGTGGCGAGAGTCGCCGTGGGGGCTCCGGGCGGGAAGGCGCCGGGTGCCGGCGAGGAACAAGAGCCCGCCTCCCTCGGGCCCTGCGCAGCCTGGCTTTGGGTCTCTGGTGGCTGATCTGCTCGTGGGAGTGCTTTTTGCTGGGTTTGCATCGCCTCCTGGGCCTCCCTCCCCTGCAGACAGTTTGTCCACCGGATCCCGCGTTGATTGGGGTTCTTTGTCTTGCGCACCCAAGAGAAGGAGGCATCGGAGATGGCTGCTGCCCCAAACAGGATTTAGAATGGCAGGGTCCTGAATAAGTGGATAGATGTGCTAAAGCAAAGTAAGGCCTTATATGTGAATGCGGCAGGTAAGAACCAGGTGAGCTGTTGTCCTCGGGTGCAGCTCACCTTTAGATAGGAAAGCCAGAGAACTCTGTAGCCCAGCTTTCCTGCACCTGGTGTTCTCAACTTGTTTGGGAACACAACTTCCAGAATTTATGGACATTGGGCTCAGTGGCTGGTGCTGATGGGGGTTGAATTCCTAAACTTCCAAAGGGTGCCAGGTTGGGGAAAACTGCACTAGTGTGATCCAAAAAGCAGGCGTTTATGCAGACAGTGACTGGCTTAACTCCTCTTGACTGTGGTCATCAAGGTATGAAGCAGGCTTAGTTTCCTCACCAGTGGGATCACCAAGTAGTTGTCTTTACAGTATCGTTATTGAATGGTTGCAAGTCACACATAATAATGGGAAGATAGCATCCTTCCCCTTGAAGGAAGCCTGCCCCCCCCCCCCCCCAGTGTCATGATCTTTAGTAATGGATCCCTAGCAGATGGCATTCCCTCAGGTTTCATTCCAGTATACAGACCTTCCCTTTGAACATACCCCACTTGCCATGACCATTATGCCATTTTTCCTGTTTAATTCTAAGGACTAGCATATTTTCCCTGAAACATCTGGTAGGAGATCAAACACTCACCAAGACATGTGGCTCTGTTACCTAACTTTTGTATTGGAGCCTTGTCAACAAGCCTGGGGTTACTGTGTTGCCAAAATACTGTGCAGGCAAAACATTTGTTTGCATGCATTGAGTTATATCAGAGTCCTGTCTTAATGAACAATACTTTATCATATCTAACAGTGTTTTTTTGTTTGTGTGTTTGTTGAGGCAAACCATGGTACAGCGTGGTTTTCTTTAGAGCAAGACTAAAAACTTGTGTTGGACTAGTCATAATCTCTGAACCAAAATGGAAAGTTCTGAAGCTTTGAGCAAGAATTTGTTTTACATGGCTTTGGTTCTTAGAAGAGTTTCATCATAATGGAATGTCATGATTTAGAGTAGATGCAGAACTGCTTGTATATAGAGCTGTGGAGAGGCCATGCAAATTTGGCATTGCCTTCTTTTGAGGTTTGACTTTGCATACAGTTTGTGTGTTGTGTAACTTACTGTCTTCAGGTGCTATCTGGTTGGATTTTGGATGTTACTAAGTACAGTCCTGATGAAGACTCTTTGGAGCTGACAAATGCAAAATGTGGTGCAGGGCAAGACTTTTAATATGCCAGTCTTAATAAATACTGGGTACTCCTGCAAACTAAACCATTTTGGCTTGGCTGGTGTGTGGGTCCATATAAATCTAAGTTCAGCCAAATAGATAAGGAGCGTAATGTGTGTTGTAAACCTGGATACACTGCTTACAGAGGTACTGTGTGAATATTAACACTAGTGACAGAGAACCAGACTTGTCATTTTGTTGTAGCAGAAATAGATGTCAGTTTAAATTTCTTAAAAATAGCAATCATACATGCTGTGATCTGCAGTGGGTTTATTGAATTGTTCATCTTGGTACAGCTGAGATTTACCATGGTCTCTGCCAAATATGTATTCTTACCAATTGCATTGCAGAAAATGTATGGCATTTCCAAAATGCCATCCATTTGTGTCATGACATTTGGAGCTCTCTTAGCATAAGCCGTACTCATCTTTGAACCTTGTAGGGTTGTAATAAATAGGAGATATATATGAATGCCAGAGTAATCATACATTTCAGAACTACTTTTATGGGCCTTTGTGGGTTCTGAGAAGTTCCAGTGCCTGTTAAAATCTTCAGGTTATTCACTTGGATTAAAAAAAAAAAAAAAGCAACCACCAACAACCAAATAAGGAGCTTCTCAGGAATTAGCCTATTAGCTCATCTTTAAAGCTATTTGTACATGTGTGATTTGACACCTTGTTTAAAGGACTCTAAAAAGCTGTTTCTAAAAGAAGAGCTAAGTTAGTCTGCAGCAGTAAATAGAACAAATCATTGCTACAGCATCTGAAGAGCGTTCAGACCTAGAAGTGACTCGATTTCACCTGATTTAGGCTGAGCAACTAATGATGATAATCACAATTTTTCTAAATGTAGGAATTATAACCTCCTGTGAAACCTTCTTTTCCTCTCAAGTTACATTGCTTTTGCAAGTGGGGCTCTTGTGGGGGTAATTATTTGCAGAGCTGTATGCAGTAACATCTGCGCTGGCTGACTCCAGTTCTTATAGCTTTACTGCTGGAGAGACTCAAAAATGGGAAGGTCTTGCTTGTGAAGGGAAATGGAGTTGTTCATTCCTGTACTCCCTTCTCCACTGGCACCCATTGCTCCATTTCTCAGATGAATGAACCAAGCGTGAGTTGACTTGACTGGATCACAACAACCTTTCTTCTGGTCAGTTTCACATGAAAGAACAACTTAAGAAAGGGAAGAAGCATGCCCAAGCTTAAAATACAGCTTTTCATTTCTTCTAAGAAATACAAAGATATGTAGCAAAAACACATCCTTTCACATAGTGAAATAACATGATTTTTAAAAACATTTTAAAGGACTCCAAAATCATGGGGGGCAGGGACTTGTCCCAATATCCCAATCACAGGATAGCCAGCTGTGTGCACTTTTATTGCTTAAGTGCTGGTTGTGCTGCTGGAGGCTGATTGTTTTTTACAACTTGAAATTTTGCAGACACGTTCAAAACAAGCTTGACTTGTAATGGTAGTGGGTCAAAAAACATGAACTTGTATCATGTGGGCAATGACATTTCTACAGTACTATATTCAGTTTTCATACCAATTCCACAAAACCTAACACATTATCAAGTGACCGTTCCTGACAAGTGCCTGCTTAATCCACAGGCTGAGCAAGTCTGTCTTTTACTGAAGTTGTTTATCATTAAGTTTATTCAGTTCTTAAATGTGCATGTTTATTTGAAAATTGGATGGCACACTGCAGTTTTTCTCTCATTTTGAATCTGTTCGGATATGCTAAAGGCTATACATACACATGCTAGTTCAGAGGAGCTATTTTAGTGTTACAGAATTATACATTTATCGCCTTTTGAATGCCAAATATGAAAGTGAAATATTGTAAACCATTATTAATTTGAAACAGCATACAGAGTGGATCTGCATGCTTATTCAGTCCTCTTCTCCATGTTGCAAGCAAATCCCAATTTAGACTTATTCAAGTTCTTATTGATCCTTATTTGGATTAGGATAGTGGACATAATGCAGATAGACTTAAACACACTTATATCCCATTGGCTTTGTTCCTGTGCTCAGTGTGTTTAATTAATCTATGGCACTAGTAGATGAAAAGCATGAGTATAAAAAAGTATGATACCTAAGCAGGGTGATTTAAAGGCTAATTGTATAAAATGCTTTAGTCTTTATTTTCATTGATGTCATAAAAACTGGTAACTCTTCCATTTTTGAATCTGAATATTGAAGTAGGTGCTAATGGTTGTACTTTCAAGCACAGATATAGAAATCACTTTATGAGTTTTGGAAGGAGTAGTGAAATACAGTAGATTATTAGCTTTGAAGAATGCTAACAAATGAGAAGCTAATCAAGAGATTCTGCTTTGCCCCTAATAATTTAAAAGGAAACTGTGCCAGCAGCCTTACTATATTTAATCTTTTACATTCACCATCAATATGTCAGGCCAGATTACTGCAAAAGTGACGTAGATAATAATTGAAACAAATGCAATGATATCATTATTGTTACTATGCTATTAGTGCTCATGTTACTCTACAGAGGCAGCAGAGGTCTATGCTCTCAAGAAGCTTTCAATCTAGAATAGTGGGGGAGGAAGGGAAAGAAAAGGATAGTAAAGGAAGGTTGTAGGCAAATGCCATTATATACTCTTAAATCTTGTGTAAAATTAGGAACCAGGATAAGCCACAGTCTCATATATGCATGAAACTTTTTTCCTGAAATACAAGTAGCAGAGGAGACCAGATAGATTCATAGAGATTGTTCTTAGGGGCTTAAATGTTAAATATTGATCAGAAGTTTCTCTATAAATTATTTCCGTATATTCAGGAATTTAGTAGAACAGTTAGTTCTGACAAGGTAAGCAAAGTATGTGGAAAGGTGCAGCATTTATGTAGCAACCTGTTGTCATTCAGCTTTCTGTATCCCCAAAATTCTTTGTAAAATGTCTTTTGAAATCACTTTATATTTTAGCAAAGCAGTTTAGATATTGAAAAATCAAAGTAGATGCAGAGGTGGGGCATGAAGAAGTGGTATTAAAATCAATTGTGTATAACAAAGTCTTC